TATATATTAATTTTAATTAATAAATAAAACACTAATCCGATAAATGTAGGTTGTCTCATTCTTTTAAAGTGGACAAGAGAATTTAGAAACAGATTAATTAATAGCCTCTATTTTCAGGAACGATAAAGATTTAACCTCAGATTACCATATTATCAAATGATGCCTTCGTTGAAAAGTTTAGTGATATCAAAACATAAAACTAATACTAACAATTTAAAGGTTTAAAGCAAGTTCTTCGATCATTTGAAACGATTATACATTTTCGCAAAGCACGTGGCTCAGTTCCAAGTAAAGGTCTAGCAATAGATGAAAACAGTTTTAACAGAAGAATAGGCACGTTTTTTATTGCCATGTATGTGACACGTGTGTTATAATTATAACGTATGTACAAGATAGGACACCTCTATACATCAAATAAGCTTGCTTTAAAGATTACACTCAGATATATATGTTTATATATACATCATCATAGAAGTTACAGCTTTTGCTTTATGCATAATAACAGAGGAAATCATTCCGGCAATTCCATATATAGCAAACTCTGAATTCACATTCATTGTTAACCCTTGCTTGCTTGGTGACTGGCTACTACAAGTTTCCATACAAGAAAACAATCAGTTGGTTAACAAACGCTAGCCTTAGCTAGCATTGTGGCATGGTACAGTTTATTAAAGCCGGTCAATGATGGCAGAATCAGCGTAGAGTATTTCTGATTTAACATTTTAATCGTTATCGGAATTGCCATCAGAGTCATTGTAGGCTGCTAATAAACTAAGGCCGCCCCCGCCGGAGCTCGATTGTCGAGCTATTGTCATTTGGTCCATACTTGCAGCCCCCGCACTCGATTCAGCTTTGTTATTATTGTTATTAATGACTTTCTTAACTCGAACAAGTCCTCGAAGTTTGTTTATCTCGGACTGTCGTATTGACTTGGTAGACTTCATTGGATCCTCTTTTGGGATCTTTTTTAGCCGTTCCTCTTCTTCGTCAGAGTCTATGTCTCGAACTCGCTTGTATAAGACACCATCACGATTTTCGATGCCTTTCTCCATAAGAAACTGTTCAAGTTCGTGTTCAACTTCACGATTTTCCCTCAAAATCCGTTCCTGTTCTGTTTCTTTTTGCTGCAACTGTTTTTTGTTAAGCATTCCTTCAAAATCAACCGTGGCCTGCCGTTCATTAAGCTCTTTAAGTTCCTCGAGCTCTTCTATTCGCTCCATTTCTACACGGGACTGCATTGTACGTTTTTCAAGCAGTTTCATTGGATTGTTCTTTTCGTCTTCCTCTTCTGCAAGACGCGCTGCCTCTTCTAGTTTCTCCGCGGTTTGTAATGCCTACAAGAATGAACAGTTAATTAGAAAGAAATATTAAGAAGGCGCTGTAAAAATTTTACTGTAAGTTTAATAGTCTAACAATTAATCTCCACTATTAGTAGCAAATTTTAATTTGCACCCTAAAATATCTTGAAATTAATAGTGCTCAAGTACTAACTAGGAGAATGACTTTATTGGTTAATATGCTTTTTTCGACATTTATATTAAGCTATCTTCCTATTAGTAATTTAACCAAGTAATTCTATAGCCAACAATCGCCGCTTGATCCTCGTTACATGACATCGTATAAATGGGACACATTTTTAGTGTGAAATAACTATGGCTTTATAAGACAATTCATTAACACATTAACAAGTCGATATATATGTTGAAACTGCTTGGCAACGTAGAACACAATACCTTAAATACGCCACAGCTGATATTACTTGCTATTTGCATATAAAGTTCAACGTTTTAGCGTTAGTTCTTTTGCTATGGAAAGCTATCCAAAACGTATGTTCTCGTTTTTTAAAAGCTGTCCAACGGAATTTCTGTATTTGAATTAATACTGTCAAAAATATCTGATCTTGTCACACAGATGAGTTTTCTGTTCTACGCGGGACAGAATTTAAGAGAGATCAACCTCGCATTTGCTTATAGAGCTTGGCGTTAATAAAAAAATTAAATACCAGCTACTGAAAGCACTAAGATTTACCTTGATTCACATATTTGTAATGCAGACTAATTAGTTCACTATATTTTTCAAAAATTCCAAAAAGATCTCATCAGCTGCGTTACTGACATTGAAATTAATTCATTATGATTAGTTCGAATATCTTTTATATTTGGTCTAACCTTTTTAACGTCGTTAGGTTCTACTACGACGTTTTTTAGAAACAGAGTATCCAAACATTTGAACGAAATGAAAATCACAGGAAATCAAAACATGGAAACTCGCCTGAAAGTTTCTTGTAGATCCATGCTCAAGGTCATAATCGCCCTCTTTAGGGTTTGTTTTAAAGGTGATCTCGGCAAGACACCGCGGACACCGAATATAGAAACGGAATATTTTAATACCAAGGTACTCCTCTCCTTGAACAGTTTCCTTTCGTGCATTGAATTTTTTGCCCTGCGAAGGCAAAAAAATGTCAACATTTTCACAGTAATAAATACCGTAACTATAGTCTGGTACTTGTCTTGGAACCTTACTTATGATGCTTGTAGTAATTAGGTTACACGGGATTATCGTCCATATTTAATAAAAATAAAACTAATCTGCTTTAAGAGGTTATAATATGGGGTCCTGTGAGAACTGAAACTAATAGTTTTTTGCTCTCTCTCTCTCTCTCTCTCTCTCTCTCTCTATATATATATATATATATATATATATATATAAACAAATGCATATTACTAATAACTGCGTACTATAAATAAAAGTTTTAAAACAATGGATACACTACCTTATAGATATACTCGCCGCAAGTTGTGCACTTCATGTTGCACGGAGCCATAAGTCGAACGACATACTGCCGGTCTCTAGCTAACTTTAATCGAGGAAGTTTTGATGGATCGAAATCCGGAGGATAGTATTTATTAAGGACTTTGCGTTCAGACATTTTGAGTTTCTGTGAAAATAGCAAGTAAAATGAATACATATGGTCTTATATAACAAGATTATATACAGGTATATAAGAAAGTACCTATATTAATTTTTGCTAATCATCAGAACGGCTCCTGTTAGTAACGATTTTTTTAGCATGCTAAACATGCCCCAAGGCATATATGTATCGTATATTATGATATAGAAAGGTGTTCTAAATGTTGACTTAAGAAAACCTATTACGATACCTTCTGTCAAATCCACTAAAGGGACAGTTAAAGGGTAATAATGCGCTCTAACAGATAAATGCACAATTCAAATTGCAGTAATTCGCCGTCAACAATTTAGTTTACCGTAGAATCATTAATCCGCGAAATCAAATTTTTCACTAAGAGTTGCCTATTGCAAAGGCATCGAACAGCTTCAATCCTTTCAGAAAAAGTTTCAGAAACAATTGTTGGTTGACAATTGGCTCGAAAAAAAAACGCTGCCAAAATACATCCTCACCAGTTTTTACACACATGTAAAATATGCTTGTTTATTCTCAAGTTGATAAAATGATGCAAAAAAATATTTGTTGACTGATACTGTTATTGTAGAATATGATTTTTTAAGATGATTATGTACCGCTTCTGTTCAATGCAGAATTGTTGCAGGGAAGTTCAAACATTTTAAATTTGTTAGGTTTTAAATTGTTAGAATCTTTATTTATTCATTTATTCAGTTAATAAGTGCGATTACGATCTGACTCAATAAGCGCAAGTGAATAATTATGATCAGAATTCGATTTAACCTCAAATTTATGGTTGCTGCAGTTCATAAGTAGATAAAAAAAAAATACTATTAATCATTGATTTGCTCACCTTAGGTTAATTCAGGTAAAGAGCATTTTAAAGAACTCGAATAAATGACAGCGTTTAATCGAATAGTCTGCAAACGTTAACTACTAAGATTCAGTCTTTACTCTATGGAGAGAGCGATTTGAGATTAAGAATCAGCTAAGCTTCATTTCGATAATACAGGGCGCAGCCATATTGGATTGAATGAATGGAATCCTAGCGCGTGCTGGCCATACTAAACATTGCTGATAAGCTTCTAAAGAAAACAATTTACGATTTTTACGAAGAAAACGACTGCTGGGTTACATTAGTATTTTATAGCCTTAAAAGAGGTATATTGTCATTAGAATTCCTGAAGTCTAACTGTAGTAAGTTTACCACACATTTCTAATTCATATTTCAGCTCGTAGATTGCTCGAAATCAGATCATCACAATCATCGTCCACATCCAAAAACATCGAGAAGGATCGGCTTCAACGTGCGAGTGAGCGGCAGGGCTGCTTTTGGTATTACAGTCGTAAACACAGCCAAGCAGTAGTCAGCTAGTATTTACAGCTAGCAGCAAAAAATCCACTTCGTGCGTGCCGCGCCTGAGGCTGTATCGAAACGGAGTTTGTTTGTCTGTCGTAAATAAAACTGGTTCGCCGTGAGCTCGTACTTGCATTTATGTAATTATTTTGTAGATTTCCTTCGCAAAGAGGAAGTCTTAGCTAAAAACACAAGACAAATTAGAGAGTGGTAGAAACGTTGGAAACGTGCAAAAGCTCTACTACAACTTCTCAGGACAAAATGAAGGCAATGCAAAGGCCAATTATCTTGTTGCAAGAAGGCACTGAATCGCAGCAAGGCAAAACGCATATGATGTCAAACATTAATGCGTGCCAAACTATTGGCGATGCAATCCGTACAACTCTCGGCCCTCGTGGTATGGATAAACTGATGGTCGACGGTAAAGGTTAGTCTTAATCGAAGTTATTTATTATGAGAACAAAGCATGTCCATTTAATACATATGACCGAGATGCTGAAAAAAGTTAAGGCTGCCCAGCAAAAATAATGAGACGACAATATTCAGTTGAGTTAATTTTAATATTAAACCTCAGATTGTCGACTATTAACGCGGTGACGCTGTCTTTAAGCCGCCAAAGCTGACAGCAGAGCGCACGCGGTTCCCGACTAAAATGGCGAGCACGCGAAGTTACGCCTACTACTTCGCTATGCTTCTTATATGGACGAAATAAAAGTGACACAAAGGAATACCGCAAAGTATAATGCACTTAAAATGAGTATGTGTAAATAACGTGCTGTGGCATAAATAGTTATGTCTGCAGAAAATCATTCAAATGAGAAAACCAAAATGTAAGATGAAAATATGGGCTTGTGGATAATATGGGGAAGCTTTAATAGGGTCTTCAAAAGTAAATTTTAGTTGAATTCCAATACTATATTTATATTTCAGTATATGTACGGCAAGCACGAAATAGAAATACCTTATTTCATGGAAATTATACGGTAGATTTTTAGTTGAAAGATGTAATAATGTAAAAAAAAACAGGAGGAAATATTCATGAAACTAATGCTTTCGAAAGTATGAAATAATTTATTAAAAAAATGCACAAAGAAATCAACATGTAACGTGAGAACAAACATTCTAGGCAAGACTGTCATCTCAAACGACGGTGCTACTATCATGAAACAGCTAGATGTTGTTCACCCCGCGGCCAGAACTCTTGTTGACATCGCTAAGAGCCAGGACTCTGAGGTGAGTGAGCGCTTGGAAACATAGTAGTATGTTGTGTGTCCAATATAAATTCTATTAAAAAGCGTTTTAATACTTCCTTTTATACAGATAACTCAAGTAGTATATGCGATAATTACCGAATATTGAAACTCTCTTCTCTTCCACCTTCAGCATACTCCCGAAAACGGTGATTGCATTCAATTGTAGAAAGCCACTTTTAGCTGGGCGCAGTTCATGTATAAATGTACTTGATGAGTACCGTTTTAGTCGACTAATACACCGCCATTCATTTAGGTGGGAGATGGCACAACATCAGTCGTTCTCCTAGCGAGCGAATTTCTGAAGCAAGCAAAACCGTACATCGAAGAAGGATTGCATCCGCAGGTCATCGCCAAAGCGTACCGCAAAGCTTCAAAAATGGCCATTAATAAAATTAATGAGATTGCAGTGAAGGTATGTTGCTTTTGTCCAAGATGATTCCAGGCTGTGACATTTTGTGCGTGTAAATTTCACGGACGCTGTGTTTTACAGGCAGAGTGGGATGTGCATTTACGTAAAATGGTCGGCACGTCATGGACAACCGTCCCATTGACCTAGAAGTCACATTAATGGTGATCTTCCTTTAAGCCTCAAAGTGCATGTTATATAGGGCTAAAAGTGCCTGTTTTGTTTGTATTTGAAGACGTTCAAGAAAGCATACAGTGGCCGATCTTATTTCACCGTTCGCAGTTTACTTCAGATAGTCCCTTCTACTCGCATATCTTTGGCTCTACTCGACAAAACCGATATATTACGTATATGACGTATGAAAATATCACTGTAATCAATTTTCATTGCAAACTTGCGGTGCAGATGGACGCGAAGAGGTCTAAGTCAACAAGGATTTTTATGGGGAGGGTAATTTTCTATTAGAAGCACTCGCAGATCAACATTGTGTAGATATAAGACAAGTGTCCCGTTTTTTGCCTGTAGTCGATGTAATATACTGTTACTAGTAGTAAAAGGTTACATTTCTATTGTGTAATAAGTAGAGCATCGCCGCCTGTATAGAGGTCACATGTAGATAGATTTATTACTCTTACTAGCCATAATCAATCCATTATCAAGTTAACTGTGGATAAGCCTATTCAGGAAACATTATTATGGCCAAATCATCTCTTATTAAGCTCTCCGTCAACACAAATATTGGTAAAACCATCTCCTTCCCGCTCACATTTCATAGATGATGAAAGAACATACGGTGCCGGTAAGAATTTGAACGTTTCAGAACCTACTAATCAAAGCCAGATTATGATATCTCACGGACCAGCTCGAAATCGACTTCAACATTTTTTTTTATTTCTTGTGTATAGGCTTGGCGAGAAAGTGCTAATGACACATCCGGAAGAATTCAGGATTAAATCGAAAAAAATCCCTATGGCTTGAATGTAAATATGAACAAGATTTCGTTTGTGGGCTGGTATCTCGACAGCGGTTGAAAATTATTAAAAAAACAAATTTACCAAATAGTCCGTTGTATTGCGAAACTGCAGATATGGCTAATCTTAGAGGACTCCTCTAAAATCTGTGCACTAAATAACGCTTATGCTGGTCAATACTGTGTTTCTCAAGCATAGGTGGATAAGGGTGCTGAAATGAGAGCACTACTGGAGAAATGTGCTATGACTTCGTTAAGTTCAAAGCTGGTCGCATCAAAAAAGCAATTTTTCGCCAAGATGGTTGTGGATGCTGTTCTTCAATTAGACGAATTGCTACCCCTCAATATGATCGGTAAAACTGCTTCTAAATTACACTTTGTGATAAGACATAAGAATTGTAGACGTATAGCATGGTCTCTTAGCTACGTTCCGAGTACTTTTCGTAATAACGTTATTAAGGGTAGATGCTAGGTTATCTTTTATGGTGTCCTTAAGTAAGTATCGTAACGCAAAAATTACGGATACTCGAAATGAAAAAAACCCCGAAGCAAATCGTGTAGGAGACGCGGTACGCAATGTTTGATGCTTCATTGATGATCAGTGCCTTTATCCCGGAACAAAACTCATAGAAGCAAACTTTTTAATTATTAAACATAACTACAGGTATTAAGAAGGTCTCAGGTGGTGCCCTAGAGGATTCTGTGTTGGTGTCCGGAGTTGCCTTTAAGAAAACGTTTTCATACGCTGGTTTTGAGATGCAACCGAAGCAGTATAGCTCACCTAAAATTGCTCTTCTGAATATCGAGCTCGAGCTGAAGGCCGAAAGGGATAATGCAGAAATTCGTGTTGACAATGTAGAGGAATACCAGAAAATTGTGGACGCTGAGTGGAGCATCCTCTATGATAAACTCGCTAAAATCCACGCTTCTGGAGCAAAGGTGAGCGTAAACAAAATGACCGAAAAACGTAGCGTGAACAAAGAAACTGAGAGTTGACTTAACAGTGCGTTGCAAAAATAGTTAAAACCTTCTGTCATTCACCCATTCCTAAGGGGTTTTGTAAGCCTTTATTGACTGCCGTTAATCGACTGTTGAATGCAGCTGTACCGCCTTAGCCATTGAAGAAATGTAAAGGTACACAACAGTTACCTGGAGAAGTTGCAGTTACATGAAACAAAAATGTCTTGCTATTTTAACGGTCAAAACCTGTCTATGTTGTTTGGCGTTGGCTACAACTTGTCAGATCATTAATACAGCATGTGCACGATATGGAGAAGAGCTGTAAGAGCTTTCTATTATCTCTATGTAACATTTACAGGTGGTGCTAAGTAAGCTTCCTATTGGAGATGTAGCCACACAATACTTTGCTGATCGCGATATGTTCTGTGCCGGTCGAGTAGTCGAGGAGGACCTTCGTCGTACGATGAAGGCCTGTGGCGGGTGTGTGCTCACCACCGTTCAGGATTTGAAGTACTCTAATCTTGGTTCATGTGAACGCTTCGAGGAAGTGCAAATAGGAGGAGAACGCTACAATATCTTTAAGGGTTGTCCCAATTCAAAGACGGTTACAATGATCTTGCGTGGTGGTGCAGAACAATTCATCGATGAGACGGAACGTTCATTGCACGATGCAATTATGATTGTGCGGCGTGCGGTCAAGAACGACGCTGTCGTAGCTGGAGGTGGTGCTATCGAAATGGAGTTGAGCAAATATCTCCGGGATTATTCCCGCACAGTGGCCGGGAAAGAACAGCTACTCATCGCTGCTTTTGCGAAGGCGCTCGAGGTGATTCCACGGCAGTTGTGCGACAATGCTGGATTCGATGCCACCAACATTCTCAATAGGGTTAGCAGAGTTTTCTTTTATCTAGACTCTTCTTTCTTTGTTTACCCTTCGTTACGATCCCATCAAGTTCTAAACCGTTTTGGACACGGATTTCCGTTCTGCGTTATGCTTTTTCGTTTAGCTCGCACTAATAAAGTACTGACTAGTAAATTTTGCGTCTTAAATCTAACTTTGTCTTTCCTTTATTATGCAGTTACGTGAGCGCCATGCTAAAGGCGAAAAATGGACGGGCGTCGACATGAATTTGGAGGATATTGCTGATAATCTATCTGCGTGCGTATGGGAGCCAGCTGTAGTTAAAATGAATGCAATTACAGCTGCGACGGAAGCCGCGTGCCTAGTTCTTTCCGTTGACGAAACCATAAAGGCACCGCAGAGCAATACTGATCCAAGTGCCGGAAGACCCTTTTAGAATTACTATTGAAAACTAAACAAACGTATTAGTGGCAAGGAAAATACATACAAAAAGAGCTATTAATGATCGGGTTTAGAAAGAACTATCTGGAAAGATGGAGTAAATCACTCGGACTGTTCAGTGCTTCTACCGAATTGAAGATGAGGCCTTGTTCTATTTTCGTATATTTTTTTTTACAGGTTGCTACCATACAAAACACGAAAGTGATAACAAAATAAATTAGCCTTATCCGTGTGCTCAGCTACTCCATTTATACGTTATTGAAATGTGTTCTTATTCTAATTATTGTTTATTCCGCGTATTCGTAACCAGTGATGATATATCGTATTGGGTGCAGGTGCGTTCGTGTTGATTGGAACCATGTGCAATAATTGTGGTTATTTGATAAAAGCAGACAGTAAACCAACAAATTATTAGTAATCTTTCCATCGGTAGGAATTTCATCAGTCGGAACGAAATTGTTCCCAATTGGTTAACCTAAAAGTGCTAAATAGACGTTAAGGGTCATCATAATTTTGACCTCAGTTTCTGTTCCAGCTCCGGTGAACTTAATTTCCGAGTACCCCTCATTAGCGCTAAAAAATTCTTAATTTTATTAACCCTGGCAGGTTGAAATCTGGTTATGGCCACCAGTACGGCGAGTCTAGTGTAAGGCGAAACTCTTTAGCATGAGATTTAATAATTTTTAATTACCTAATTGAGATCCTCTCCTTATTTTCAAAAATGGTTTACTTCCAATGAGTTATTTTATGCTTTTCGTAATGGGTTCTTGAAAAATTCACTTTGTATACTTTAGGTTGCTCATATAATTTCTTTATTCAAAACCTGTTCATTGAAGCGCATGTTTACAATTGATCATTGTAAATGAAATGTTTACGATCGCTTTGTCAATTTATTTTGATTATTAAGTACTTTTTTAGATATATGTCTGGTAGTCAAACATATCAACATCTCGTTTTTGACTTTCTAATAGTTTGGTGCATATGGAAGAGCGCATTAGGTCAATCCGTTCGTAACAATGTTGAGGGAACACACGTAGGTGTAAAGTATAAATTCTAGATATAAATAAAAGTTTTCCAGTAACTTTCGGTGCTCTCAACTTTTGGCAAAAGGCAAATACTTCACTCAAAATAATTTCGTTGACTTCCCGTGCTCACCTTTCATCGCTGGGGGACAAGCAGATTCTCCGGTGAAAGAAAATGTATAAAGACGATCCTTTTATCTCCTCTATATATATATATATATATATATATATATATAAATGCGTTGGGTGGTGGATAAAAGGTAGCGTGAATTCATTATTTGACAGTGTTTGAGAAGCTTATGGTGGAGCACGGCATTGAGATCACATCAAACGCCTTAAGAAAGCCAGCGCAGACGTTTGCCGAAGATGTAGCCAACTTTTCTTGCGTTATAAATTGTTGTAAGAGATCTCTCTTTTATTCCCTGCATATATGCATATAAAGGATCCCAGAAAAAACTGTGTGAAGTTTCGAACTAAATATGTAAACGAGATGTGCAATCTGAAATAGTAGAATTTATTGATAGACATCCATGTTATGTTCGTAAAAAATTACATTTCTCGTATGCATTCTGCGTAATCAATCAATGTAGTACGTCTGGCTGCGGATTTCTCTTTTCCATGTTCCAACGAGAGAACTAACACTCATATTAGTTACTATTAAATCTTTATGTAGCGTCAAGTTGTAGCTTGTTTACGCAATCCACTCTAGACGGCGCCCCGGCTATTTAGGGAAACAGACACCCCTAGCAATATTGCTCTTGAACACTGTTTCAGACGACTCCCAGTACGACAAACACTGTGTGTACGTCCTTAAATTCGAACCTGAGTCCCTATATACCAAAGAACATATTCATAATGCAAGTAAAAATAGGTGCGAAATACAGTTAAATAATAAGTTGTCCTTTTTAACTGTATTAGCATTCAGAATATATTCTTTAAAATACATAAACAATTTCTAAATAAGTTGTCCACTGATGTACGATAAAATTTTTTGCTTAAAACTGATTATTCAAAATTAGTGAAGACGCTGGCTCTGTATGTGGCTATTTTAATGGTCTATGGAAAAAACGTTTGCTACACATTCGAGCAGTGAAAGCAAACTGAAAGAGATTCATTTTAAAAAACGTTTTCGCCACATATATTTAAGAATTTCTTTCCTAAAGTGGTATTTCTTTAAGGAATAGGGCGGAAGCTACTACAATTAGCTTTTCACCGTCATCAAGTTTACTGTGAATTGTTTTTACCAAAGGTTTTGGTATTCTTATCTTGTTAGTGATATGATTATCAATTGTCCCAAACAGCAAGACGCCCATAAAATACGTATATGGGAGAATGTAAAAATGTTCAATCAGTAGATCCGATAGCGCTTTTGGAAAAATCAAGTATCAAAACTTAGTCCTTCAATAACTTTTCACGATGTACTGGTGATATTGACTTAAATATGTACTGAAATTAATTAGTCTATGCCCATCCTTCTAATACGCACTAGCTACAGTGGGTTGAATTATAATGACCTGCTGCCGGGAACTGCGACAATGGAGGTGGAAGTAAAGACATTGTTCCAAAATCAGTTCCACTTCTCGTCTCTCTCAGTCACACTTCGCTTTCTGTGTTGAAGCTTCGAAAATAACCAAGATGATAAGTTTTTAATTAGTCACCTGTCTTTTAGTACATGTTGTAACATATTTATGAAATATTTTATGTTTACAGATTGTTATGCTTACAGTAGCCAAGTGAAATAAGAACTACATATATTCAGAGGACAAATTACCAAATCATCGGCATTCTGTTTAGTTTAAAAGATTGTTCTGTTTAGGGTACTAAAAAATGAAGTTTATATCAACAACAAAGAGTTCATAGCTACGAACGTGCTCATATGTCTGCTAGTACCGTTCAATTTATACTTTATTCAACAAGACTTTTAAAAGTAAAGAAATATCTATATATTAAAAAGTGTAATGTAAATTTAAAACGCGAGAGGTATTTCCGTATAAATTTACAGGTTTTATTTTAAATAAATCCCTTAATAACAAAATAGCAAAACTGTACACTTCTTTCAGCTATAACCAAGCTCTTCTTTCGACCAGGGTTGAACCACTAAGCATCGTTATCTGTCACACAGAGTAAGACAGAAGCTAATCATCTCTGAGCACCAACATTGACTAGATGACCCCTAACGATTTACACAAAAAATAACCATAAATATCCATTCTGTTTGAAACTTGTCCTGTAGTTTCCTTAGAAAATTTTATATCGAATGTCTAATCAATAAACCATTTTCATTTCTCCTTAGGCGACACAGAGAGCCAATGATTAGCGTTTCGCTTATTTCTCTACACAACTTTGCGCTCCATACTTCTATCCATTCCCTGGTCGTCCGGTCTGTGCTTTTATCTGGCCATCCCAATACCGAATGGCAACACGGCATCTACCTCTTTTTCCGAATGGAGCACAGATTTCGATGGCTTGGTTGCTATATAGCGAGCTCGTAGGCCAGCTATTGTATGAGCACATATACTCTTCCTTTTGTATGTACAAACGACACTGAAACCACTTGGTAGTCTTCGCGATAGATTGAATTTGTGTTCGATTTGAGTGCTCAATTATTTACCGTAATCAGATTGAATATTAATTATTCACGATTTTCGTAATTCCGGAATTACGTTAGTCAATAAATGATGAAAATTAACAAGATTGTCAATGGGCATTATAGTGATGGACACAAGAAGTAGAAAGGCCTCTATACGAAGTAATGGCGTTGGTTGCTTACCATAGAGGTTCTAAGTTAATGATATTGCCGACGTTGACGTTAATAGATGAAAGTCGAATCGATAGCTATCTGCCGTATTGTACAAAAAAAAATATTGCTTATATATAAACGCGAATAATCATAGTTCATGTAGACGCTTCGCATACTCATGTGAAAATTATGACTGCCGTAGTTAGTTGGTCTCTTCCTAAGGTACCAATGAGATCATTGCCGTTATCACAGTGCCGTGGTCCCCAGCTGTTTGCCATAGGACTCAGTAAATGTGACGACCGCGCCTGCAGACTATCTCGTGAAAACCAACCAGCGGTCACTGCAGAGCATTTTTGAAATCGGTCGAATACCATTGCTGGTCACGCTGATTTAGAGCCCCATTTTTAACCTAATATTAAGCTTTATCTAATGTCCGGCCCGTTGACACCGGGATGCAAAAAGCTACAGCTTCCACCGAAGCGACAATGTCCTTGTTTGAAGAACTTGCACAGCGTGCGCGGAGGGCCCCGAATTTGGGATCTTCCGGCACCCCGAGCATTTCGTTGTCTGCGTTCATTATTGCCTCCACTTCCGGTGCCAGCTCCCCCGTGGCCCTGATGCGGACCAGGGCCCCCGGGTGGGCCCTGGTGATGGAGCATATCCGGGCCTGGCACAGGGCCTGGACCTGACTGCATTGGACCCCAGTGGCCACCAGATTCCTGATCAGGAATGATAGGTACCATTGGTAGTGGTCCGTGGGGACCTCCGTTAGGTGGTGGCATAAAAGGTGGTCCAAGGTGTCCTGGCATGGGCATATCGGGATGTCCACCCATTGGAGGTCCACCCATAGGTGGCGCTGGTCCCATTGGGAAGTGCTCCGGCGGTCCCTGGGGTATTATTGGTATTTCAGGTGGCATCTTCGGCATCGACAAAGGTGGTGCTTCTCCAGTTGGATTTCCTATGTTAGCAAAGAGATTTGTAAGCGCTGCAGGCAGCTCTCCCGGTACAGGATTGGAATTCTGTTGTTGCTGCTGCTGCTGCTGCTGCTGCTGTTGCTGTTGCTCTGGCCACGCATTTTCTTCCGGTGGAACAGCTTCAATGTCCTCCAGAGGAATGACTTTCACATCAACAGAATCATTTGGCCTTCGGTTTTCGGGTTCCGGCTCGACGGCAGAGTCGGGTACCATATGTCGACTGAAATAAATGACCTCGAGAACGCTTGCCTGACGTGCGGCTTCTATGTGGCGCATTTTTGACCCGCGTCCTATGTCTTCTGGCCGAAGTGAAGGAGCCCTCTCCGGTGGAATATCGATCAATGGGGGCATCCTCCACGCCTGCTGCTCTTCCATGCGGTCGTTAGGTGCACGAAGTCGCTCCCTTTCCATACGCATCTCAATCATCTTAATATCCATTCCCATCTGACCCATCTGTCCTTGCTGCATAGCCATATGATTAGCATTATTGACGTTTATTCTCTCATTAGGGTCGTTCTCAAAATAGTAGAAGGTCTTTAGGTCGCTTTCCTCTTTCCATCGGACACTTTTCTTGACCTTATTCTTGTTAGTCACAATGGTTAAAATAGACTTTACTCCTGAGGTATTGCTGGAAGGTTCTGGGAGAGTTTGCAGGATAACTGGTATTCCTTCTTCCTCAGTTTCAGCAGATTCGTCAACTTTTACCTCATTTGCAGCACTTTCTGTAGGTGCCGAACTGCTCGTCTCTTGTGAACTCGAGGATGTTGACTCCTGAGAAGCCTCATCTGTAATATATACGAAAAGAAATTACACTTAGAAATTTGCTACACGCAAAATGGTACGCCTAACATCATAGATAGATTGACATATTATAAAATATGATAATTTATGTATTCCTTCGAAGGTTCTAGTCAGTTCGTTACCTTCCGTACGCTCGACCTTCACATCCTGAGTAGTCAGTTTGTCTTTTCCGTTCGTCTCATCGTCATCATTGTCCTGCTTGGTCATTGTCTTCCGCGGTCTATTTCTGAGGCTTCTTCTAAGAGGTGTCTTCTCATCGTCAGTCCTTTCCTCCAGTGTATCTTTGTAGAAGGATAATTTTGGCGGTGCACTAATGGAGGTCGCTGCACTTTCTTCTTTGACACCTTCCATCGGGTCGGCTTCACCACTCCCTTTTACTTCAGTGTCAGGCTCAGCTTTCAATACCTCCACAGGCTGAATATCCTTGTTGAATTCACAATCCCCTGCTGGACCTTCTTCACCACTCTCGTCCTTGCTGTTCTCGCGTCTGACGCCATCCATTGCCTTTTTATCGCTGCCAATCTTTTTCTTCTTTTTAATTTGGCCCGGCTTTTCGGCGTGGTTGGATGCATTTAGGGCGTTCATAAAGCCTTCGTTTTCCATAATCAGATGTGAGGCCTTAGGAGCAATCAGTTTGATGTTGCCAACCATTTGCTCGGTTTGATTCATGTGAGCGCTCATGAGCGAGGCGCGAACCCCGCTTGGACCAGAGAGGTTACGCATTCGGGATACTGCAGGGACTGACGGCTTGCTAATAATAGACGAAGGACCTCCTGTTAAAGGTTTTGTTACCTTCTTTTTTAAAGACGGAGCGTTATCGTCCTCGAGAAATGATGTTAACCGTAGCTTGGACCCAAACTCCTTGACGGTCTTTGGTCGTTCCGTCTTTGGCTTTCGGACTTCCGGCGGAGTTGGTGGTCGAGGTGGGACCACGTCACTTAGATCTTCCATTTCGACGGAAGGTTTCTCTGCAAGCCGCAAATAAGGCATGCATTTATTAGACAAAATTTGTATCACAGAAAATACTTGATTGTTTACATCATCTCCATGCCGGAATAGAATCATCCTTATCGCGTCTTATATTCAGCATATGTTGTATATCTGCATGCATGAAAGTATTCAAATATACGTACGGTTGAGGGATGGATCTGAGTTTTCCGTTGTAGCCTTGAGTTTCTTGTGATCCTTATCTTCTCTATCGTCTGCTTCCTTACGTTTTTCACCCTAAATTAGACGTAAAATTATATTAGCAAATGTAGTCAATATACTTTCACAGTGACGTCTACAATCAAACGTTTTGAAAATATTTTCTTTATTTTCCCATATATTATGTGGCATGTATACTTTATGGCTGACTTCACAGTTACTCTTAACCCCAAAAAACCATCGATCTCAACTAGCAAAAGCTACTAAGGTAGCAAGAAAATAGCTCGACCAATATATCAACTATCATATTCATCTAATCAAGAGAACGTTAAAAACAATCAGTAAACTTAAAAGAAATTACAAAAAGTAGCTTACCTTCCCGTCCTTGTCCCGTCGATTGCTGCTTCTGTCCTTGTCTTTGCTACTGTCCTTTTCTCCCCTAGACCTATCACGTTCTTTATAACTACGATCTTTGCGGTCGCGGTCCCGGTCCTTGTCTTTATCCGATCTGGATGAAGATTTATGAGAAGATGACGACGACGACTTATGACGGTCCTTATCATCCTGCAATTTAATCCAGCTTTTAGTTTCTGTACTTATTGATTCCCTAATATAGCCCTCAGGTAATAAAGTAGTTACGGCTATAATTTAATGTTAAACTAGTACAACTTCACTAAATCAATGAATAATTGATAAACAGATACAAACCTTCTTTTTATCATCATCGTGCCGACGGCTTTTTTCCTTATCACCTCGATCTTTTTCACGGTCTTTACGTTCTTTCCGCTTTTCGCGGTCTTTATCTTTCAACTCTTTTTCGCGCTCCTTATTATCTTTCGCTTCTTTTTCTTCGGGACTCGACTTGATGAGCTTCATCCATTTGCCCACGAGGGCTTCTGCCTGCTGAGCCAACAGCGGATCTTCATGTTTACCCAAGCCCTGAGAATTTGCACAAACCAACTTAACTTTCAACTCTACGTCTATAGAAAATAACCTCACATGACTATAGTATATCTAACACAAAACAGAGGAATTGTCGGCTGAATCCTCAAATCTGTTGGTATAATTTCTATGTCTATTTTATAAAAGTTCGTACAATAGTATTTTCTCAAAATTACCCATATATTTAGCAATACGCGTATCATTTTACCTTTACAATTTTGGCAATATTATTTGCTTTTAGCCTTTCGACAGTCATAGGAAGTTTGTCGAGGAGCGCAACAAGTTCCTTGAGAAAACTGGGGTTATCTTTGGCCTCTCCGATCCAGAGCAATAGAGTGTCCCAACCATCACGCTCCAAATATCTGTAAATTAAGAAACATGTATTTTATACAGCGGTCTTGCAAAATTTATAAGTACTGCTCATCAAAATATTAAAAACCTATAGCCTTTGTCCATTCACGGAAATTTGTAACTACTCTTGATAAAAGTATGCTTACATTTCAAGAATCTCTGGAGCGGTTGCCCTTAGCACGCAACAATAGATACAGCGGCTTACCAATTTGCGTGAGAAACGTTTCATTAAACTGAAAAGAAACGACACAAACAATTAGTTTTTGTTGAAGAGTCGCTTAAATTTATGACCTAATAAATTTAGTCTATCTAGAAAAATAATTTAAGTTAACAGAACTCTACAATTTTAATGAGGTGACTTATCAAATTGTTAGCTCATAAATTACCAATTATAAATCATCAAGATAAATTATTAGTATTCAAACTAACTAAAGATAAAATAAATACGTATTAAATTCCACCTATATGTCTACTAGGCATATATTATACTAGATATACTTAGATATACTATATTATACTTAGATGTTAAAAAAATAGTGTCGATTTTGTATTGCGCTTAAAATAATGATTCTGTGTTGAGTCAATGAATACAATTTTATACGGTACGGTAGGTCTCTCTCTACAGTCGCACAAGTCACGCGGTACCGAGTATGATACAGGACCTCAAAAAGCTACCCATAGCATTCCACCAAAAGAGATTTTAACATTATATATATATATATATATATATATATATATATATATATAATATATATATATATATAGTAGTGGCCTGTCTGGATACCTGACTTTCCTTAGATGGGAACGATTATGGATCGCTTGATGCGCCGTTTGACATCCCGCACGGCATGATTTGTGAACAATGCAGAACATCTTTATACATAAAACGTGATTTAAGCGTGTAATTTTTTCTTATCTACGATGGTATGCGCACCTGGAGAAATGGGCTGTTTCTTGAAGATTTTACGGATTTTACATGAAGGGCCGTATAGGTAAGTGAGACCTTGTTATTGAAGTCAGATCCATTAGATTTTTGAAGTAGATGACGCATTGATAAAATCCACTCAGCCCACCATAATCAAAGGTTATTGTACACATATCATTGCTAAGTCTTGTCCAAGCGCTTGAATTTAACCTTACTAACTTTCCAGAACTTTTGTATGCCGCGGACCGCTTCATTGGCTGCTTTCAGATACTTGTTAAACTTTTTTATGTCTAATCATGCAGCAGAACTTAGAATCCTACAGACTTATACATATGGAGGGTAGTCTTATATTCAGCCAGTTGAAAATCTCCACGAATTATTTTCGCATGCTACAGCGAAAAAGCTTACACGACACGGTAGAACACATTCATTTTAGGAAAGGTTATAACTACCACAACCATCATCATTATCTTCATAATGTTCTGGTTGTCTTCATTGGTCATTTGGAGATTTGGTAGTCTCTTCCTAAGCGTCCTCAAGCTCTTCTTTCTCGTCACCTGCGCACACAGAGAAGGCCGCTTCATAATTATACTGAGCTAAAATCTGAGGCCGAGCTGAACGTAAATTTGCCCTGGTCTTTCTAAATATATATTTTGGCTTCAATTGATTTTTGACACCGCGAGAAGCTGAAAATCTGCTTTTTTATAGGTATGATTTTGCCAGAGCTGTGGGCTGGTGTAATAAGGTATACTACCCAAAATTACCCGGATTTGATTAAAGGTCAGTTTTTTTCCTTACACGGCAGTGAAAAATACAAGAATAAACCACTATTTTTTAGCGATTTTTCTTGAAAATGATACAGTCGTCCTTTCTAGGCATCACTCTTAAGTCGTAATATACGTTGTTTTATTTTAGTACATAGCCGACAATCATCTGCCGTATAACAGATTACGCATAATTATCTTCAGGTTGTTAACCCATACTTTACTTCTGAGTAAATGCTTTTAAGTTAGAGACGATTCGATATTGCATGGATTAAACGTTTGTTACGAGGTAACTCCACAAGTTGCCGCTTGATTTGTAGTTTTCTAACTTTAATTTTTTTAGGAGATTCTGCCTTAAGCGAGTGTGGTCCATTCGCTCGGATTTCAGAATATGGTGGCACGCACGGCGAAACAACCCATTCTCAAATCTGGGGAATGATACGTTTTAATTAAGAAGCTTCACATACGCCTACATTTTTCGTTTTTGTTTACGTTGATACCCAAGTATTGAAATCTTCAATGTCTTTGTACGTTACAAACATTTTTACGATTACTTTTCGTTTCATATGCTCCTTCAGTAATTTCTCAGTTTTATACGTTCGTCAGATAAGGTTACCGGATTCCATAACTTAACATATATAAATGAATGAATTCATGTTATGCTTACCTAGTTTTCTCCCCTCCCCCACTTCTACAAACTGAGATATTTTCCGTTCAGAAAGTAGGTATATGTGGCCTTAAGTTGAATCAGACATATATTTTTGTTGCAAAGGGCGCTGGCCTTTTCTCAATCACTTTTAATTGAGTCTGTACCTCCAGTCATCATGTGGCTGATATTTTGGGAAAGTAACAAACAACACAGATTACAGTCTAATACACCGTTGTTTAACTTCGCGTTTTCTAGTCTATTATTCGTCGATTATACAATATGCGTGAGTGGTGTTGCGGCTGTCGCTTATTTCGAGTTCACGTCCGGTACTGCCGCAAAGTATTACTGCTGCTTTTCGTTCTATTTCGTTGCCGACGATATGCGAACACTTTCGTGATTCGCTTTCTCCATCCAGATACTCAGGAAACGAGCTCTTTCAGTGAGAAAGGACACGACGCGGATATTGGTTCAATTGCCGAAACTTTATTTACTCATCATCCTTTATTGTTTACATACAACTTGTTATGTACATGACATTCTACCTATGTATATATTAATATGTTTGTAGTAACATAAATATGTATCAGAAACAAATCATTCAGCCCCCGTTTATCTGGCCTTACCTTGATACAGAGTCTCAACGATTAACAGACCAAAGGAATGGAGTGCGCCTATGGAGTCTCCAAAAATATCCAATTGGCTCATATCGCTCGTATTACTCGTCAATGTAGTGCTGTTACTACTGATTGCTATGTGTTTAAACCAAACAAGTTATATAAGGCATTCACGCATTTGCAGATCAAATTAAATGACGTGCCGTTTGAGACACTTGTGTATCTCCGTTGAAGAGTCTGTCTTTTGTTTATATTGTATCCTGCATGCTTGTGTTAGATGTATATGCCGGCCGTGTTCCCGAGTGTGACTATACTAACTATGCTAAAAGCAAACTAAGAAAATTAACTAATGCTTTAATACAAACCTAGATAGCCTTTGCACTTCGGTAGCATCTTTGATGCCACCGTCTGTTGAAAGAAGTGGCGAAAGAGCCTTCAGCAATTGTGCTGGATCGATAGGCGCCTAAAAGAACAAGCAAAAGACACATTGTCAAAACACAAAATCTAACAAGTTTTCATCTACTTCTTTCATTTTATAAATAACTACGTTGGTCGACTAAGGCCGGCTAGCGACACGAACAAAAAAAGGACTCCGACGAGTCAAGTGGGGAAAATTATGATTTTCCACAAACTATACCGAAAATTCTTTCGGTACTTTCTTTATGTACTTATATTTAATGATCTCATCTAGAGCCCTTACCCACATTGATTCGCATAATCGTAATTTCAGCTCGAGCTGCCAAGATATCAGTGTAAATAGCAGACTAAATCCACAACATCTCACCCAGGTTAATAAAATTTACGTAAAAGAAGCATCCTATCACCCAGTGTATGTAACTCTAATAAAGTTACATACACTGGGTAAACTCAGATCTCATATTCGTGAAAGATACTGATAAAATAAATCCACCTCAGTAGTTGCCTGTCTGCAAGAATAACACAAATTCCCCTTCCATCGGCAACTATGTTTGCGAGCGATACGTAGTTGATCCAGACGGTTTATAATTATGGGTGATCAACAAAGGGGATAAAGTTTTGCACAGTGTACACACAGTGATTAATTGTATATAGTGGTAGTGTACATACATACACCTGTCGACTTCGTGCTTGTATTAGGAATCCGACAATAGCTTCTGAATCTCCATTCTCGTCTCGCTCCCTTTCATCCGGGAAGCGGCAGTGCAACAAAGAATGGGATCACCCACCAAGATCGACCCGTCACCCAGCTCCGTACGTTAAACGTCTCGTGGGTGTGAAATGACGGCGGTAGCGCCGGCGGGTGTTGAGGGTCGCATGTAGGTTGGGTTCTTGCGGAAGCTCTATGCGATTCAGACGAAGGGAATTATAGCGTGATTAAATGCGGTCGATATCCGTCGACACTCTACGATCGGTGAGAACAACAGTACGTCAGATTCAACTGGCGTAACATATGAACGACACAAGGGCAGCTAGATTTTCTGGCAGACGAGTATACTTTTTGTAAACTTATAAACGCGTTGACTCCATATTTATACTAAACGTCTGTCACTGTGAAAATTACTGTCGAGAAATACAGACTCAAGCTCATGATTGTATTATTTCATAAAAAGCCTGGAAGACAATTTTAGTATCTCGAAAATTATTAAAAAATTATAAAACGGACCCTAGCACCCTCATATAATTTCATATTTTTAGCCTGACTGAAATAGATACTTGCGTTCTATTTTAGTTATATTACCATTCAACGCGTTCATTTAAGTTTAACTATATATTCTTGCATTCTCAGGCAAACATTTTAAAATTACAAATCTTGGCTTGTAATTTTCGGTAACTACAAGATAACTATGTCTTGCACATGATGATCTTAGTTGCATTTGCCAAAAGTGCTATTCTCTGCTAGAGATTTTGGGTTAACCCACGCTCATATAAAACTTGTGTGAAGGTGTAAATTTTCACACGAGGTATAATCCGGTAATTTGTAATTCAAAAAATGTTCGTTGTATTTCGCTTAAATTCGTTGGATTTTCAATCCCTACACCCCATAAACATTGTAAGACAAATTTTGCACAACATTACTACAGTATATCGACCTAGCTTACACAAATTAAATTCACATTCTATACATTACAACAATGCACCCCATATCTGCTATGCTGCTACTACTACTAAAATGAACTTGTTCACCATATAAGCGCTCAACTGTATGTGATCGAGCAACACTTGCGTCGTAAACATTTTCTTAGAAGTTACTGATAACGTACTACAGCTTACTTTAGCATATCGATTTAATATGTCGACAAGATCGGTGTAACCTTGAACGAAATGTCTAGTGGCTAGCAGGCTTTAGGCTAAACTCCATCACTCTTTTACATAATGATTTACTTTTTTGGGAACGCCTGTCAAATGCATTGATACCGAAATACATGGTATAATTATCCTAACTTGTGTAACATGTAAAATGTATCAGCTGATTAGCTCACCATTATCTCACTTCAGTGAGATGTTCTTCTTGTGCCATCTCGCCAAACGTTCCTCACCTTTAATTCGGTTACGACTTTTCAGACTACGTCAATGGTTTCAATAAAGATATACATTTGAAGACAATTTGGCCTGTATTAACTGGCGGTTTCACGCATTTACATCAGACCCGTTTCAATTGACTTCGACTGAGACGTGGAAAAATTGTAATGTCTACGATTATATTAGTAATATATTCAACATCCGCAAAGAATGTTCCGATTAACTCTTTCCTTCGAATGGTTGAGGACTGTGAGACCTCAAATCCTTCGTCGAGTGTAAATTTTAATTTGCGACTTCAGTATTTCATACTTTTCTAATTCAATAGTGACGGAAACGCAACGGATTCCAGACTAACTTGTTACTGAATTGTGTTTGGATTTTCCTAACTCAACCTGGCTGGTCTTTTGCCATGACTTCTTGGGTCATGCCACTACAACCGTCGGGTAGCTCGTAATGTTTATGTATCCTCCACTTTTACGCACATGTCCTTAGATATTCGAACGACTTACCATTGCATTGAGACTGAAGCTTCTGTTGAATGTATCCTATGAACAGAACGAAGACGTTCTATTTCCGTCTTTCTTCCTTCTAACGCCGTGCTCAGAATTTCAAGAGCCAACTAGCCTCATATTCCTTTGCCTCTTGAGCAACGCTTCTTGATATCGTTGTATCCCAATAACGACAGACGTGGTGAAAAAACGCGCAAATAAGAGGATTCAATCCAATACAAAGTCCTACGAACTTAGCATTACAAGTATTCTTGCTGTACGCTCAGAACGGGATGCTGTGAACTGTTCGCTGTGTCACCGAGTTGGCAAGAAGCGGTTATTTGCTTAACAGCATTAAGCGAAGATTCAGCCGCCGTCGCCAGCCTTCAGTTTCATGAATGATGATAGAACTTCTGAACTATCAACAAGCAATGAATACGACAGGACAAACGTTCAGCAACGCACCGATCTGTGTGCTCTGACTTTGTTAAGTCTATGCTAGAACAACTTCGGACTTTGTTGGAAAGGACAAATATCAACCTCTTATCTGTAGTGTCTGTTTTTGTCTGTTTTCCCCTTGCAGGTCGAGCACACGTTTTAGATCCTGGACGCTTCTTCGCCTTCAACATTCACTAAAAAAGATTAAGCACAAATTTAGACAACCCTACGACCGCTTACCTTTGTATAACCCTACCACCTCGGCAAAACTCATGACCCTTGTCATACTTCCATGAGGACCACAACTTCATTTCTTATTTTATAATTCCTGTGGAAACACCTCTTAATACTATCTCGCTATGTGTAGCTAACCCCAGCGCTAAAGAAATCATTCACAGTGGATGTACAAGACTTGCTGGTATACAACCGCACTTGAGCACTCCCGTGCGTACTCTACATACGTTTACCTATTATTTTAATGCGTCTACTTAATAGGAAAAACAACAAAAATCATTAAGGGGCAGTTCTTAATAGGATCGCCGATCAACCAGATCATAAGCCATCTTCAGTAGCTACATTCGCTATATAACTGCCCTACTGTATAAAAGTCGGGTCTGGGACTACACGATATAATCTCGCCTTCTGGCTAACATTCGGGCAAATTTATGTGATTCACTCCGCTTCACCGGTTACGCTGAAGCATATGGCATTTTAAGATTTGCTCACTCAGTATCGCTTTAATCGCAAGGAATACGAGACATTTCGTTTTATTGCTTTATCAAGTCTTAGCGACGTGTTTTTTACAGTCTAGCTTGCGCTGATCATACAACTGTTGCTGCTGTTGTTATCTATAGCGTACCACGAAATCAGTCTTCCACATACGTGCAACAAACTCCTTATCGAAAGTCAATTACAATATCTTTCAAAACTTCTTGCTGCTCATGACTGTAGACAGGATAAAGACGTAACTGGTCTGGTCTGGTCTAAGATATTGGATTATACGTGATGAAATCCGCACATGGTGCAAGACAAATCGATCGCCGTGACATTTTATGGGCTATAATTACCATGTAGTGATACCTTGTTAACAGGGAAAACAAATACAGCAAATATGTCAGCAAGTTTTAGTTGGTGTTTCTTAATTTCACCTTGTATTCAATCTGGATTCGGCCTGATATTTTTTGCCGCTTAGCCAACAGAGGATTCTGTAAATCTACACTGAACCAATAACAGGTCTTTCAGATACAAATATATCTTGTAAGGTTAGGTTAGGTTATGTCTAACTCATTAATTTCCTTCAATAATCTATTGAACGCATGCACTTCGAATGTGTTACTTTCTAGTGGATTCACATGTCATTTGGAAGACTCGCTTCTAGGCAAGCTTACACCAGTTATTACTAGTTAGCTATTAATAATTCGATCACATCTCCCGATATATGTAATAATAATTTCTATTAACAACACGTTATAAAAGATGGCTGCGTCTACTCTATCACCTGCTTACTCTCATCTTCGTTGTAACTTTTAAACTCCGATTTGTTTGTGTGACTTTTTCCTGCGATTTTTCCCCAGTATTCGTTGCAGGTCGGCATATTTCGTTGTTATTCTCGTTGTTGTTTAAACTGCGATTAACATTAGCACCCATTATCAAACATTTTGGGCAAGGGAATAGTACACCTTACTTGACGCATACGCGCGATCAGCGTCGCGAGAAGGTAAGCGAATGTACTGGCCGTGTGTCATCATATCGCACTTCTTTGAAATATGTAGAAACAACTACTTTTAGTCGATCAGCATAGCCTCTAACAGACGTGCGCATGCTTACCAGCGAATCAATTTCCCGACAATCAAAACGTCAGCCAGCGTCCCAACTAAACAGAAGATTCTTCAATGCAACTGAGACAATCGTTTGCGCTGATGCATTCTGTTCATACTCGCCGGTGTGCATCATCACCATCCCAATGACACTTAATACCAAAATAATACTAAACAAGCTGCTCCAGAACTCCAGTGAGGTGCAGGAACCTGTTGGCGACGAAAACGAAGTCACATGAGCTGGCGGAGCTCCCTCGAGGACTTTATAAATACCCCAGGTCGATACAGCAGGTACAGTATTCCCCAACAAAGAAACTACTCTTTGTCTGTTCGTTGCTTCATGACAGCAGCGCCACCGGGATCTACTACAAGATAGATTATATATTCGTTGCTCTCCACCAGAGAACAACGGGTACAGGATTATGTGAAGGGATAGAGGGGGAGGGTGAACCTTCTCAATAGATATATTTGTATATATATATATATATATACAAATATATATATATATATATATATATATATATATATACACAGAAACAAAAGTAATCAAGAGTGATTAACTCTGGTTAATGTAAGAAAAGTCCGGTCCCGCTTATGTTCGCAGTTTACACTGCTCTAAACTTTACTTACAATTTTCCGTTCTATTGCACTAAAGCTACGCTTAACCACTATCATTTTCTCCACATCAGCAAAGACATCTCAATTTGTGTTCCACTGTCTTTCTTTAGATCCCGTTTTTAATCGGGGTCGGTCCATAAATGACGTAACGCCATATTACTATTTGTCCTCCTGTGAGAAACTATCGCCTAGGCTTAACATGAACACTACAGGATGGCGATCGTCATGATCTTGTTTCGTTCCAACTATTTTCTCTATAGCGCGCAACAATCCCGAGCCATAAGAACCTACCAACTGTGAGGATGTAAAGGCGGTTCGCCTGGCTAAACGACGCCACTGCAAACCCAACCTATATAGAGGAGCCCGACAGGCACTGGCCCTTGGCTAAACGTCCAACAAAGCCCTGCCCAACAAATACTTCATAGCCACACAACGACAATCGAATAGACGGCCATCTAACAGCCAAGATGGCTTTTGCCTCGGAGATGATTGGCAATAGCTGCGGTGGCGGCCGCGGCCACTGCGTCAGCCATAACGTGCGTAGTGCTCGCGTTGTAAAGCCGTAGTCGGTGGCAGTAGCAGCAGCTCTACCACAAGCGCACAGGGCCAAACAGCGCCGCCTGGCCTCACTTCGTTGGCTTCTGTTCTATGCAGCTTTCGTCTGTGCTGCAGACACACGCGCGCACGCACGCACACACACACACACAGACACACTCACACACACAGGCGCACAATGTCGATGGCCGAGTTGCGTGTTTGTGGCCGCGCATGCGCACCAATTGCTACATGTCATCTCGGCTTATGGCTGTTCTTGCTGGCGCTGCTTCTGAAACTATGGCTACAGCATGCCGCCCAGCCAGATAGGCAGGCAGGCAGGCACCCAGGCAAGCCAGCAGGCGAACAAGCGAGCAAACATACCAGGGTCGCAGCCAGGCGGCGATATCACCCAGAACCTACCCCACCACCACGAATATACCGCGGTTCTACACGAGAACCAACGACAGCCACACGATTGAAAGGACTAAGCCTCAGCCATCCATCCACCCCGCCAGCTAAACTGACAGGGAGTAGTCGCACGTGCACCAATAGCGCGTTGCCAGCCGCGTAGCTTTGATAATAATGATCGAAAGTTAAAAAAAAAAACTGCAGAAAGGATGGAAGGGGAGCCAGGCGAAACAGCCCAACACGGTGTAGCGGTCTGTCTGTGCTGCTTGCCATACATAAGAATCTCACGAAAATTTTAATGACGTTGCTCTTTGCTACGCAAAAAAAGGTAACCAACGCGTTAAATATACCTGGCATTTTTGTATTCGTTGATGTCTATTTTTTTTCCAATATGCCGACTTAAAAGAGCAGGTTTAAGTTGTTAGATGTAACTAGAATAAATCGATGAAAATGCACTGCTGAGATGAACGTATTACCACACTCACCGAGACAGTCACATCCGTGTTTTCACGCTCAAAGTTCGTAGCGTGCAATTTAACGATTGAACCACTTGGGACGACCTATTTAGGTATAGGCTCGATTAGCGGCTATTATATATGAAGAAACAATATGGGCCACAGCAGCAGAAACAGCATTTCACCTGTTGTTATCATTCCGCATACTAAGCAGCTTGGCAATTCTATGCAATTCGAATTGTTTGTTGTTCCCCTTTTTTTAATTGAGAGTACATCTCTATGTAAAATTTTCTTAATAAAACCACCTGTACATAAATCAATACGGATAAAACTCGATGCCATAGCTGCATTTCAATATATTATATGAGCAATAGGTTACCGTACATTTTTACGCAGTTAGTGCCACAAGTTTTCCTTTGAACACAACGTCGTCTTCGGCAGCTTTACTGTCGCTATTTGTGCCCCATCATTGAAGCGATTTTTTTTGTAATTGCATTTACAGAAGAGGGAATGGGAGAGAATTACAGTTTCTGTTGACATACGTGACACAATGACCGAGTAGTAATAGTATTAATACTGATAATCCGTGGCTAATCGACAGCAACAACATGAAGATCAGCAATGGCACAGTTGTAAACGACTAATCAACCATACGGTATGGGAAGAAGTGACTTTGCCGTGTTTTTTACGTCGCCATCATCTCACCATAGCAACGAACGGCCGGCCTATTATAGCAAACAGCAGCGAGTATTGAGTACAGCAGTATTGAAAACTGCAGTCATCCTCTCGGCGACGGCAGCACACACGTTTCCGAAAAGACAATCACAGCGTTCAATATCATCAACAACAACAACAACAACTGAAATTAACAGGGCAATAGTAGAAACACTGTTCCAAACGAAGCTAAAGGGGAGGGCAGAAGGTTGATAGGGGTAAGCGCGACAAAAATTCACTCATGTATAAACATCCATCCATATGAACATTATCCATTGAGTATTGCGTGGGCCGTGATTGCGGCTCCCTGAGCAGCGCAAAGATTGAAGACGATGAATCTTCGCTTTCTGACTGCCTGTGCCTTTTCCTAAGGTTCGGCAGGTTGTCCGATGTGGTTGCTTGCAGCAGTTGCGGTAGATGCTACTACCGCCTTGAGCAGCGGCAGCAGCACAAGTAGATCGGCAGACATAATTTTAACGATGATGCTGCTGCTGCTGCTGCTACTGCTGCTGCTGCTAATGGCTAGCGGGTTCTCGCTTTGCTGGTTTGAACTGAGGACTAGGGGGTCGATGACAAAAACATGGCGATGTACCATTGGTAACACCTGTATAACGATAATACGGCGTTACTAGATGTCAGCTGATTTCATTATTTATCACCAGCGAAACAGACCGACGTGGCAACGATTGTATTCCCCACAACCTCACTTTTCTAGCAAACAACCAACGATCGAACGAACGGGCAATTATTGTGAAGAGGCTTAAAATAGGCCCAGCATAGAGCTAAGCCACACTGGCTGGCTGGGCGGCATGTCGCCGGATTTTCGCCATCCGTTGATACGAGCGAGCTTGTCGCGGGACAGGCTCGTCGTCTATTCGTTTGATGGACGAATCACGCGACGCTGCGATACAGACTCCGACTTGACGAAACGAGGATAGAAACAGAAGAGAACCGGGGGTTAACCGAGACAGATTCATCCGTACCTAAATTTGTGCTTAATTTTTCCGACAACTCTCGGAGGAGGAGGGGGAAGAGTTCGCTGATGTTTAACTTCTCGAAAAAATATCTTCGGTATAAATCCTGCTGTCAATCAATTTTCTTATTAAGGATCAACAGCCAGGATTGTAGCCTTCCGCAGTCGAGGTGTTGAGCCGCGATGGGTCGTAAACGCCAAACCTGAAATGCAGTAGAAGATGAAACGCACTTCCGTTAGCCACCGCTATCCATACGCGGGGCGTTGCATGCAGACAACACTATTACACAAGCATGTAACGACTCGCCGCTTAAGTCGTATCTCATTCATCATCATCACGACCAACTGCAGCTAAGTGACCATCATATTTCTTATACAGGACCTATGCGATCGACAATCCAACGTAAGCGTTACACGACAATTGGACCCTTATCAGTGTCTGTCTGTCTGTCTGCCTATGCCTCTTTGTATAATGAGGACTCCTGTTAGTTTTCGATTGTGAGTTATCGAAGCTACGGCGACCTTTCGAGGTTTAGACTTCGAAAATCGATAATACTACATTGTACTTGGTGCGACACTTTCTTTTGGCATAAAACGTTTGTACGCCTAACGAAAAACACAACAGAACAAAATGAAACATGACGGTCACGTAACATATTAACATACTGTGAGTCAACGCATACGCCCTACAGCAGGACACGGTGGAATTTCTCGATACGTAAAACGCCAAAAAACAGGCAGTGAAGTTGCACCTACCGTTGCTGGAAAGCATCTGAGAGCTGATTCGCTGCGCAGATCTACGCGTTCAGAGGGAGAGGGTGAGATTACCGGTTGTGAACCGGTATTCTTTGTACTGCAGTATTATTGAGCCGTTTAATATTGTCAGTTTCTTGGACATTATTCAAATGCTGAGGTGGGCAACCCAGGTCAAAGTAAATCAAACACAAACGATTACCAAACGTATTTTATATCTAATACGTTTCATCGGTCGCCAATGTCGATCATGCATCCATCTGGTGAAAACGAACAATCGAAAATGGGCTTTGCTCGTTCTTGGCGCATGGATGCATTGCCAGCCCCGGCAACGAATTGCATTCGCTCGGTTGAGACGAAACCACCACAGTGCAGAGGGCCGAGTCATGCGATTTGGCGCGAGATTTAAATATCAAAATAGACAAAAAGATGGCGCTGCCCACACGGTTATTTGTTCGGACGATTCTTGGCCAAAAACTAACTCTTCTAAATAGTGTGCGGCAACGGTTAACTTTCCCGACGGTTGTTTCAGGTAGCGCTAATGTCGGAGATGCGGTCAGACGTGCAATTCAGAGCAGGGCTTTCACAATGGTACGCGATGTTAAGTAATGTTGTGTGTTGATCGGTTCAACTTTCTTCCCCCTATCAGCTAGCTGTTATTGCTGAACAGAAAATTTGCCTCTCTTTTTTTCTCTTTGTCCTGAAAAATCTATGGTATTTCAGAACACCAACGATCCTGACGTTTTCTTCGCGCAATGAAAAAACTGATCCCACAAGATGGTGCTATCCATTGTAAACTGGTTGCACTTTGAAGCTGGTCGATACGTCTTTCATTTTTAGCTTAATCAAAAAGCGCGCATAAGAGTTGTAGATTTATGTGAAATATATCACCCGATTTGGCTGTTTTTTTATCTGCTTCGAAGTGGTTGCTTGACAAGAGAATCTTGCATTGTTCTCGATATTATTGCCGGGCTAAAAATATGTTTCATTTCGTTCTGCTCAAATCCCGAAATATCTATAGTGTTTCATCAGTCCAATGTTGACCATACATCCATTTGTTGAAAATGAGCAGCAATAGAGAACAGAAGAAAGTAACAATTAATTAAGAAGCCGGGACTGTAACCTATAACCAAACATCTGTCAAATATACATATTCACATATTTGGAAAAATTAAACAACATCGAATGGTCATCAATACGAACAAATTGTGCCACTTAGGCACTGTTATTATTTATCTATCTGATTATAGAAAAAGTAAAAATGTTTATCAATGCTGATTCTCGTTAGTGATTATTAATCCACACGCTAATGCAAAGCAAAGTGACCATACGGCTCATACAATAAACAAAGTCATTTTGGATCGGCCAGCAAACTCTTGAAGAAAGTAGTCGCCTGTCGATTATTGAAATGGAACATTTGTTACGTGATTACGTGCTACGAATTATGTGACATCAAAAAATAGTCGCGTATTTTTATTATACCTACAGAACCCCCATAACATTGAATTCCAGGGAATATTTACAATATGTTACACCTCTAACAAGCCTTTCGTCGATTTTACAATATGGTTGCATATAGTAGATGATTGTATCCAAGTATCAACAATTTATTTAATATTCACTTTTGTGACGTAAATGGTTACGGGCTAAGAGATAAAGAATCATATATTTCTCACACAGTTTATATAGGTATAAATTGTATAACCATATTACCAATTAACAGGCTTTTTGTTTAAATTATAATTGCGTTTTTATTCTAGCGTTTATTCTCGACCACAAATGGCTCATCATGTGAGCATCGAGAAACCTCGAGCGATACTGAAGGCGAGGATAAGAAGTCACCAACGATCAAATTAAGATCCAGGGTAAGTACTTTATGATTCCCATATCAGATACAAATTGATATTTCTGGGATATCAGAGTATCGAATTAGCTAATTCAGCTATAGAAATTTTTTTTTCCCGATTGTTTGCCGTTTATATACTGCTCGCAACAATACTTGTCGACCTATTTTCTTAATAACTTAAGAGCAAAAACCATTGGTACAATGAATCAAATCTGACAAAAAATGATTAAAGGATAACTTAAGAGAAACATTTCTTCTATTATCTGCTTAAATACTTTTAATTAAGCAATTTATACTGGGAACTCGATAAAATTGTTGGGCAAAAACGGCATTAATTGTACTCCTGAACGGTCATAATTTAGAGATATTCAATGAAGTTAGGCTACCTATATACAGCATGTATGTTTTAAGTATTAAATATTTTGCTATAATTATGTAGTCAGTTCGGCCGTTCATGCCACATACAAGCATTAGTATTGAAGCTGGAAGGATATTTAATGGGCGACGTTTCAGAACAAACCGTATACTTTTCACCCGGTGGAGGTAAGCATCCGTTACATGGAGAGTCCGCAGTACTCAGAAGTCTATGGAAACGATCCCGTATGGACAAACTACCGCAGAAATTTCAAAGGACAATACGCACCTCCGAAAACTCGCCGCAGTTGCATTGTAAGTTTTATCTCTAATATGTACTATATATATGCATGTTGTTGAAAAGGTTTGGTACTCATTCCCTGATCATACGGAAAGGTCCTAATAGCCTAAAATAGTCATATATATATGTTCAATTTTCCACAGTAGTTTTATTTACACAGGAGCTGGTAGTTTCAATCCTGAATCTGACCGATTGAGCACTGCAACTTCAGAGATCTCGCTGGACGAATGATTTATTATGACATTTCAGATATTTGCGCCGGACCCATACACTAATACTGGCAACCCATGTCCGATCTGCAGAGATGAGTACCTTGTTGTACACTATGAAAATACCAAACTTCTCAAGCAATTCATTTCTCCCTACACCGGAGTTGTCTTGGAGCCGAAAAGGACTGGTAAACATAATCCTCAGCTATGATCTTAAAATAAATTACTACTGATTTATTTGTTGCGGTAGGTCTATCCTAATCGCGAAATCGAAGGCTGCCAGGTCAAGCCTGGCTATACCACGCCATAGTTTAAAGCGATGTTAAACTTCAAGAACTTTTGTAGCTCAGTGATAAACTGCTATGATAAGACGTACCTTTTATCGAACAGAGCAAACAAAACACTTGAAACACGTCCTTTAAAATGAGCAGAAAAATGTGTCTGCAACAAATTAATGCAGTGAAGATCTCCGGTGACTAAAAATAACCTATTTAGGTCGTGGGCTAATGACTAACTATGTTACTGGTATCTCTGAGCTTGAGGACGCATACTTAGATGATATATATATAATTGTTTATTATTGTGTGATATTTATATATATTTTATATAATATGGCTAGTATCATCTATCTTCATATTTTACTATTTCCTAATTAATCACAGGAGTGTGCCGCCGAGTTCAGTTTAACCTGGAATTGGAAATAATGAAAGCGTATGATCTTGGTAAGGAGACTAATTTTAATTTGTCATAATTAAAATTGAGAGAAATCTGTACTTCAGTAAATGCTTGTGTAAATCTAATACCACGGCGCGTAGATACGGTGAAATTCTTTCTAATTCAAGTAAAAGGCACAATGTCAACATTCTCGGCGCAAGGACACAGCTGGTCACTCAGCGCGGATAATGTTTAAAGCTACCAGTTAACCTGTTTCAAATATGTAGCAAAGAAAAGCGTTTTCCTTGTTTGACTGTAATCATTTACAACACTGATCAGTTTCATAACATATGCATATTTAACGCGCGTTCCCGCGCTATAATTCAACTTTAGTCTAGTGAAGTTTACATGACTATATTAGGGCCACGCTTTGACAGGATTGAAGATTAGATTCAGACTTAGCGACTGACTAACAATTTGTTTGTATTTTTGCACACTGAAGGTCTGATTGAATTCGATGTTCCGTTCCGGGCTTTCGATTATAGCAGGTACTACCCACAACTTAAAGAGGGATTAGAAGCTCAAATCATCTGAGCGTGTTGTTAGTTTCGAAATTGTTTCATGGCTCAATTAATAAACTGCTTTTAGTGTACATAGATGTCGCGAATTATTCATTTAATAAAGTTTATTCTCTTGCTTGTAGATGGTTCTTTAGGAATTATCAGGACATGAATACTAAATATAGTTGGTATTTGGCGCCATTCATATATTAATGAAGGTCATTTAAGTTGTATATGGCTAAGGTCGATATAATTGTACGTTCATTGGTAACGTCACGAAGATGTTCATTTTTCTCGTTTTGAAATAGATGGACCTAGCTTCCTCTCTCTCAAATCAATTATGAGACAATATAAATTTGTCCGTGATGAAGTCTAAGAGAGTTCGTAGTGTCCCAAAAGTTGTGTTATACTACTAACAATGACGCATTGGGGGGAGAATGGATTACCACTGATATGTGAATTTGTATCAAGGGGCTATGTTTTTTTTAGATCAAATTATTACTACAGAGTATAAAACACGTATCATTAAATGAAGAAACAGTTCTAAGTTCTTGGAGTCATTTTATGGTTGCCGATTTAGCAAGACTTTCGTTAGCGCTTTTTAATAATGATGTTCGGTGTAGGTACATTCCAACGACGCTAACATTGAGGTGAACGAAATTATTTGGATATTCACCAATATCCAGATGATGTCCTCTGTTTGTAATCACTGATTTAGACTGGAGAGAAATCTGCAAACAGAGCTGCAAAGCGGCACGATATCATTTGATTTAATCAAGATTTAATTAATCAAACCTTTTTTAGAGAAGCAGGTCTATCTAAGAACTTGTCCAGCTGTTTTATTCAGCACAAGGAGCTAAGTCGGATAAATAATCAGAATTATTGTACATGGCTAAGTTGGTTATTTTTGCACCGTTTAGGCTTGTCAGAGCACTTCTTCGAGCTTCATGTTTATTATATCGATGATGCATATTATACGCTGCTATAAAAATACTTTCATTAAATATGTAAAGACTTTCTGACGTTTTATGACGTAACAGATCTCGATAATGGACCGCCATATTGCAGTTGGCCTATCAAGGGAGCGGTAGATCCTTAAAATTGACATGTAATTGCAACACCTGTGTAATATATTATCAGAAGCATTATATATATATATATACTAAAAAGGTTATGCCTACTCGGTATAACCACCTGTCACCGCAATTATAATTACAACTCAGAACTTAAACTTCGCTCGCCAGTCATTTTAAAAATATTTCTTCCTATTCAAATATAACTTTTTAATAGTAAGCCTGCCTCCTCGTAGATATAATATCGTGTAGTTTAAATACGCTACATGCCAGAAATTCAGTTTTGGCTTGTTGTTTGACAAAATTTTCAAAAATGCAAAAACTTAAAATGGCTGGAAAGTTTAGGAATGTAAAACACAACAAGTGCCAAAAAGACTAATTATTGGAGCCTCTCTGAACGATTCAAGTAGTAACCGATATTTTTCAAAATAACCGTCGATTTCACTGTGAAAGAAAAAATGGCTCCTTAAGCTGTTTTAATTAATTTTCAAGCCCTTTAAATTTAAGCGCTGTTAAAAATTTTCCAGTTTGTCTCACATAAATTTCCAGCAAGTTTTATGAAAACCCGTAAAAAAAACTGGCAAGAACGTAGACTGTCAAATTTTGAATATTTTGGAAACAAGTTTTTGATCACGGTGGAGTTTGTTTGGTCGACGAGATTGCATAATACCTAATTTTCACTTGCATTCTACAATCGAGGCGCAGAAATTTTGTCGTTTTTGTTCCAAAGAATTGGCTTTATTATACTACCAAGTTTATATGTATATACATATATTATTCAGCGCGTATACAAAACAAGGCTTACGGTTGTATAAGATAAGCCTGCAAACGATAACTAACTTGCAGTCAGTACAAAAAGTTTATCTATCTCAAGCGTAGATATTTTATGATATGTAAACCTATTTTGTGCAAATTATGAACAAAATCTTTTTTAAACTATGATTTAGCCATTTTCGTACCAACGACCTATTTAACCTTCCGATGGTTTCAGTAAATATCGAATAAGTAAAGTCCAGAATCGAGATTTGGAAATGAGAAATGGCTGGGCTAATCGTGCGAGTCAAAGGATGCCTGATGTAACCTATTCATGATGAACAAAGAATGCATGTTCTGAGAAGATAGTTTGCTTTTTTTAAGCCATAATAACACCGTATGAGGTCCACTAGCTAAGACTTACTATACTTCGAAGCTAAACAAAAAATAATTATTTATAAAAATACTGCACACCTTTTTTTGATTTCATGCTTCTATAATTATGATTGTATTTTGTCCTCTCTGTGCTATTACCTATTGTAACTAACGGTGGCAGGTTCGATTATCGAAGCTTTCGCGCTAAAAGCATTTGTTAGCTACACTTACGGCTTAATTTAAAGCTTAGCTCTGTTCACAAGATTCTGTTCTGCGATTCAAGAGAATTTTATCAACCCCAATGTGCTGCCAAAGCCAATCACTTATATTTTAAATAAACCTATATTTAACTCGGCGATATCATACAAGATACGAGCTTATTTATGTTATTATATCTATTAATGTGCATTTGTTAAACCCACTAATTTAATCTTTAATTAATTTATAATCATTGTATATAATAGTATAACGGATCCCCGACCTCTTTAACGACCTAAGCAATTAGTAGGTTATGAAGGAACGACTCAGACAAGATATCAAATGCATTTAAAGCTTGCATGTTTAGTATGATTTTCTGTGGCAATTTTAACGGCTTTTTTTATCGAAATAGTGATAAAGCCGATAGGACATCGACAATTAGCCAGACGATGAGTCTGTGAAGGCCAGATTTACTTTAACAACAATTGAAGCTTGGTCTGATTAATTCAGTTCAGTTTTGCCCATTTCATGGAAACAAACAAACGACAAAACCTATAAAACAAAAAAGTAAATAATCAATTTCTTCAAGTCCTGTGGAGTAGGAACAATATTTCATGCAGATCGTGTTCAGTCGCTTTCAAATCCACAAGAATGAGCGTCCAGAGCAAATCCATATTTTGGGAGTATAAATAGACTTGAGCTGTTAAATAAAAGTGAATCTATTACATTAGACTATTTTCCATTGGGGTTTAAGCCCTAGGAATAGACTACGTTCTATTTTAAATATTACGTATCAAAGTATAATTACGATATATATATATATATATATATATATATATATATATATATACTGGGTACAACACACCGATAGATTATGCTATTAAATAAAAACCGGTTGTGCATGCCTCGATCGGAAAGTGGTGGCAAGTAACGTAACGCCTTCACTAACGGGCCATTGTGTTTCAGATTTCATGTCCCATATCGCCGTTTTGGCATTCCATTATATGGCTGGCTTCCAGTACGAAACGAAGTCTTTCTATGCCCGTATTCAAACCCAAACCACAACGTGTCCCCAAGATTAGCAGGCAAATACGTCACCCACTAAGCTTCCGCGCAGACAAGTAATGGACGTAAGATACGAAAAACGTTTTCGATTGGACAGTTGTCCTGAAAATAGCGTTGATAAAGTGCGGTTTTTTTTAGATGATAGGAGAGAGCAGCGATTTCAACTCGGGTGCGTGTAGACCAGCAGTACCTTTGGAGTTTGCTGCAACGGGGTTTGAACCTGACTGTAGGCTCAATCCAACTTCGGTCAAGAAGATTCATTTTGAGAACGAGTTTTCGTTGGCCCTTGACAGCTTGTTCAGCGGTTCTTAACGAAGCTTGAACGTGTCTATCTGCTCGTATAGAGAATACTTGGTTAGAAATGATCTTCCTCGCTTTGTTTGACAGTGTTGATTTCGAGGCAAAACTAAGCGTACTAAATGACGTCGTTATAGATGAAATGAACTTCTCTGTGCCACCCGCTTGTTAGCAATACGTAGACAGTTCTAATTATGTCTATGTTAAAGCTTATCTTTATGCATATATATATATATATAGCTCTATATATATATAGATATATAGCAACATATATGTGAACAACAGGTCTGAGCCAAATCCAAGTGAGATATTTTATGTATGCATATGGTAGCAATAGAAAGGTTCGGCCGCTGGTAATTGGTAACTGAATGGCCAGTGGAAGGGTATTATATACAAGTCGGTCGGAGCTTGAAATACATTTATCGAAATTGTATGATATATACATCTGTCTTCTGAAATTTTCTGGCAGACGGATATTATTCAATGGAATATTCTGCTGTGTTTGCATACATTTTTTCTAAATGCTTCAATAACATCATATCTGAAGTAAAATGGATTTCACCTAGAAAAAAACTAGGCATACCATTGGAACAGCATCTCGTGGAAACTTCTTCACTGGAAGCGTGGTATGTTTACTAAGTGCACACTGGCCGGCCTTAAACGTATATTGGATCTTCATCTGACAGCTGTAAACCGACTTGTCTATTTACTCAACCGTACTGTTTTTCGAGAAACGAAGGCGAGAGCTTGAGTTAAGAAAACTCAGACCTATGTGCGGGTCCGACCAAGGTTAAGCGACATGAACCCAGCTTTCTATTACTTTCCAAACGATGCCGAATCCGAACAGGGAAGCAAATCGGTATGTCTGTTGTAAGGTGACACACGGATTTCATCATTGACACTCATCATACTGTCTGTACGACACTTGGTAACCTCGATTCTTGAGAAAATTGGCCCTGACAACTATGCAGCGGACCTTGTAGTTAGCATCAATCCAAGATGGCGATGCCCTTTTCCTTGATAGGATAGCGCGCTTGGAAATGATTTGCCATTTATTCATGTGTGCGAAAGTCCTGCTCGTGCAAAAGTCATCGTTTTACAGAAAGCTTTTAGTGAATCTTATGTACGCAATGGCATATCCGTACGATCTATTTGTTCGCAGTAGTTAAATTCTCCGTTATGTATTGCATCCTATCATTTTGCACGTAAGTGACGATAGCACAATTTGCTGACGTATTTAGTGGGGGGCATTTGTTCATATTATAATCTGAGGCTCAGCGATTCAATCTTTGGTCACAATAAGCAATCTAAGCATGTGTAAGCCCAATTTTGGAAAACTGTAGAATTGAATACTTATGCTATCACTACTGTTAATGTCACCTGTTGGCAGGTTGTAGAGACACTTTAATAAGAGCAGCGGATTCGCTTTTCCTACCAACTGAGAAAGATATTTTTTAGGTAGTTTTATTTAATTCAAGCGGTGGTGTCGTTGAGGTTCATATTTACATTAGCCACCCGTAGCCGCCGGTTGCGCTTGAAAGTCATAATATGTAAAAGGCGCTTTAATAAGCAACCATATGTATTCATACATTAGATATTGATTGATTCTTGCCCAGCTCTAAACCAGCCCACATTACGATAGTTTGTACTCGTTAATAGAGATGACTGTTTTTGTTGTTGTTGTTGTTGTTGTTTTTGTTATTTGCATGAACTCACACTTGTGTTCGTAACCGCCGATCAATGTTCTCGAATTTCCGATCCAGAGCGACGACAGTGGACCTCTGAAATAGGTATAGTGAATTACAATATGCCTTTCCGCCTTTTGTCCGAGCTTCCCTGAAATATTGGCTATTAAATTGAGTGAATCCTTCTAAAAAGAAGACGCCCTCCCTGTAAAGTGTAAACTAATACAGAGGCGCTGCAAATGAGCTGAATGTCTGAATTTCCGCATTCAATACTCGAAGCTATAAATCGAAATTGCCTAAGCGAGCAGGCCAATGGACCATTTCCGTCGTCAACACTTACTGAAAAAAAGTTATTCGAAAATAAATACACAATAATATTTCTAAGTTCAAAGAAAAAATAAATGAAGTTCGCTAAACTCCGCTAATTAAAAGTACCAAAATCGAAAATATATATATATATATATACATTCATATAGATGTAGCGCTCCCAGCTAATGAATTTGGCTTAGTAGAGAGATGAGTACGGGACGATTTGCTCATTTATGACAAATAGGCGATCTTCAGCTAATTTCTCTGCAAAACCTTCGGTGATTTTTTCAAATGGTTACGCATTAGCTACGTTCGATTGGCGTCAAGATTATTACAGCCCCAGATTTGAATTTGAATCCATTGAAACTGCCGAGGCTAAGATTAAACACAAAGTGGAAGCAGGCCAATGGTATAAATAATGAAGCTATAAATAACAGCTGATTCTTGTTGGCGAGTCCTTTATTTTGATAAAGAATCTGCGTCCGCCGGACCAACTACTTAGGGCAATTACAAGGGCAGGCCAATTGTGATGTCTTTGTTATCATAATGCGATACATTAACATGAACATCAACATACAAGTGAAAATGTGCTTTTGTTAACTCTGATTTATGTATCGTTCCATTAAGCCATCCATGCAAATTGGTGTGGTCTTGCACTTGGAAACTTTTTTTTTTAAAGTAAACTAATATTATTGTCCTCAAGTTAACCAAAAGGAACTCGATTCAAATTCTGACCAAATTTAGCTGAGTTTCGATCAACAGTGTACGTCACCGATTCTCAAACTTCTATGGGCATCCAAAGCTACAATGATCGTTCCTACATCCTCTCCGATGACTAGTTATAGGATTCTCACGCAAACACTCTGGGTTGCACCTTCATACCAAAAGGTTCAAGAACATTGCATCTCGTAGCTATGCTACCACAGCTGACCTCGTTTTAATATAGGGATATCACTCTAAGACGAATACAAGCACCCCTGGTTCATATGCCAATACTGGATTCTGTACGATAGATTTCTATTTAGCACATGGAGCTGTTCTAATCATCAACACGCTTCCCTGCTGCGGGCTTACTCGAAAAGGAGTTCCGATATCTTTTCTAGAAGTGTCTCAGCTATTCTTCCTCATACCGTGAGCGCCGTCGGAGGAGATTCAACACCAGATGCTTCATCAAAACCACTGCCTAAAAGTCTGCTGCAGATCAGGAGTGGGTAGGGAGAAAGTCATTCTTGAATAGCTTCATGCACGCCCTAGAAAGCCACTTCAGGCTGATCCCAATAACATCATGAAAAAACCTGACAAGTTTCACAGAATGTGCAATTAGTTACAGTTACGTAAAGTTTAATTTAAGACTAAAATTAGGCTAGTGAAAGTAAAGCCTTTTCAACAATAACTAGTAGTGTGAAAATGGAGAGACAGTAAAAAGCATATATCATATCTTGTTGGTGATTGCTGTTTCTGACTTGCAAGCTGCTTTTTCATTACAAGTCTTTACGGAAATAGCTGGGAGGATTTATCAGCTAAGCATTTTCATAAATGGTAAAAACGCAATATATGGTACATAGCGGTCTTGTCGCAGGTTAGGTAATAGGATGTCTGTTGAGCTCACGAAGTTCATGGCATTTTTCCATAACTTAGCAGAATAAGGAGGAATCAGCCACACTAGCAGCAGATAAAATCCCATTGGATATAGAAACATACCAGTTCTAACCAAAGAAAGACTGCCCGTTATAGGCGTCTGAGCATAAAGATGGAAACAAAGTATAATACCTAAAAAGTTGCAAGCTGCTCGAAACCTTGTAAGGAGCGAAGCTTGTAGAGAAGAACAAAAGCCTAATTGACAGGTGTTATGTAAATCTTCATTTGCACTACCTTGAAAGACACCTAAACTTGTTCTTCATTGCTTGTATTTAGAAGAAGGGCGCTGTGACTAGGAAACCTATGTGTTTCGCCAGACCTAACTGTGTCAAAAGTAAGTATACCGTTGCCACAATTTATTTGTAATGATCTCATCGTAATTTATTGCACATTCTCTGACATGCTTCAGAAGTTAATAGATAATAAAAAAAATCATTTTAATTTGCTATCTAATAAACCTCTCAACGCCAATGGCCAATTTATTCGGCTTCTATTCCTGAACTAACTGGCCACCGTATGGTGCTGAAACAATTCCATATATCGTGCGCTAATTTCAGCCATCGTAATTCGCTCAAACGAGTATTACTAAACATTTTGCGGATAGAAATATTATATTACATAATGCTTGAGGCCGCTTCAAGCAATGTTTGTTCATAGCGAAAAAAAACCAATTCTACCATATGTTTGATAACAAAACGCTTCCGAGTTAGGGCCTAGTCTTATGAGGATTTTAGTTTTTTGTTGTTTATGTAAATGACCAAATCCCTTCGGAGTACCCAAACGAGTATTTTCGCTGTAGTAGCGACATTCAGTTTTCTAGTGAAATTTTTTGTATTTAGTCGTTATGGTCCGACTTTATTAAACCACTACGTAAGCCAGAGTGCACAAACAGGAGAGGAGGATATTGCAGCCTCCTTTCTCATCGAGAGTGCGCCGGCCGCGCGACGCTCAGAGTGGGCGGACTCTCTCTAAACGATCTCGAACCAACGGAGATCAGCGATCGCCGCTCACGTTCATCCCTGAGTTCTGAACTGAGGAAAGAAGGAGATCTCTGAATGGTTGCTGATGAACGGTCGTTTCTCCACGCTATTACCCGGAACCCAGTAATTGTTGCAGGCGATACACCCTCAGGGTCCTAGGAACGATGTGCAACATTTGCAGCCCTCATCGTTCCTCGGTCACAAGACACGACGTAAAGGTCAACTGACGACGTCGACACAACCAACAGCAATACGGCGACAATACGTCGATCGGGTCAGACACTGAAGGAAAAAAGAGGGCAACCGTTTGTCAAAGTGTCACATCGAGTAGAAAAAGCTAGTTCGAGATATTGAAATCAGAGGAGATGGATCTGTAGCTCCTACTACAACTACTACTATCTCGCTAGCTGTTGCTGTTGCTGCTGCTGCTGCTGCTGCTGGTATAGTCACCGGGCAGTCAGTCGTCTGTGGAGAAAAGGAAACATGTCCGGGCCGCATCTCCTCCTCATACATATCGAATGAGTTCGCTTCTCTGCAGCGGCGGCTGCGGGAACGTCTTGTCTTCAGTAAGCAGAAGATCTATAGCGTTCGTCGCGCGTTTTAGGAGAGGTTTCGCTAGTGCGGTGAGGTGCGCGCCGAGTGTCATCGAAAAATCGTCGTCAAACCGTAGGAGATAAACGTCGAACTGACCTGACGACGTTGTGGGAAGTAGACCGAATGGTAGATTCAAGTCGATTGGTGTTTATCTGAGGGCTGGGCCATACTGCCGAATTGAAAGGACCGAAATGCGGACGCATCTTCGTCTGTGCCGTTCAGCCCAAAAGTGACGTGAGTTGTATTATCTCGTGGACACGCTGGATTACGTCAGTTGCTGGAAGCAAGACAGCACGCTGTTTACTGTGAGTACTATAACTATTATACGGTCACACTTGTTAGTCTTTCTGTCTGTGATTTAAATATAGTAAGCCTTATTTACTATAGACATACCGCTAATTATAAAACTAGAACGGTACTTGTGCACTAAAATGTCACGTTTGGTATTTATGCATAATTCGCTTCTCCCATGCGTGAACTAATCTCAAGCGTTCGTCCTTTTATGTTGTTAGAAAAAAGGCCACCGGCTAAACTGGTGGTCCTACGTTATGAGGTCATTCTCTTGCCTAGCACGTAGATATTCAAGCCTTCAACTCATAGCGTGTTTTTTATTCTAAAGTATAGCTGCGAACACTCTTTGCTAGCCACTGTTTTAAGCAAAAGTCAAAAGCAGTACGAATATCGAGTACCGAGTGGGTGCGTTAATGCGCATTCGTATCATGTAGGAGAGAACGGACATCTGATCGCTTCAGATATTGTTATTGGATCACGGATGAGCAATAGTGTGATACATCTCGAAACAGGTATGGCGTTGTTGTCCTTGCCGTCGTTGTTATGCCCCCACAGGGAAATGTTCTCCTGTGGGCAGCTGGCCATTGGCTACAGCTGTTGTTATTGCCTTGTTTCGTAGCTACCTATGCGCTGTTAATATAGTTTTTTAAGGTTTGTTTTATTTCTGCGTAATTTGTTTACTTTGTCGATCCGAGGTGGATTCCGTCTTTTACGTTACGATCACTTTGTCCCCTGCCGCGTTATAAAAAATCGCTGATCGATCCTCCTCGTTCAACGAAGGAACCGGAACCACAAAATGAACGAATGGTCAATGATTACGCAGAGTGGACTGCGCCGAAGAATACGCAGACAAGCCGACGTTTCGATACGGAACGAATCGATCGTTTTCCCTGTGTCACAGCTCAAAAGTGCGATCTATCTAGTTTTCGATGTCTCTAACCCGTCCTGTGAAACAAGTGCAATAAACACATACAATAATATGATACAGTCTGGACTAGACCGAACTAAAATAAAATTATATAGACTATAATTTATAGTATATTAACATCCAGCTAAGGAAGACATAACTATTCAATAGTAATTGTTCTACTATTGGTAATTTGTCACGTCAATATCGAATTTGGTATCGGTAGGGTACGTATATGGCCATTCAGATACTTAGCCTTCAGACATATCCGGCAGTATAATTCTTTCAGTCAGTCGATGGATGCCCAGTCGATCAGCTACAAATCACAAGTAATCAGATTTGTCTGCTGCTGCTGCTGCTGCAGCAGCAATGAGTACGAATGGACTGCTTTAACGATTACGCTACAGATATATATATATATACACATATATATATAAAGTGTGATAACAGTGTTTTGTCAAAATCGAGATATTCATTCTAATCCATAAATCTCAAAAGTTGTAAATTCCTGTGCAAAATAGTCCTATAGAAATATTGTCCGGTTTTAGCTGCTAGTGAATTGTTGCTATCACCTTAAAGATGTCGATTTTCAACAGCGGTAGGGGCAACCATAGCAATTGAGTTATGCGTGAACAGAACTGATCTCCAGGGCATTCTGGAGTAATATTGTTCATTATACTACATCGAGACAGACAGACAGACACATTTACCTACTGAGAGCTTAACAGCTTTCTATTGTGGCCGAAAGCATTCGCCTTGAAACCTTTGGTTATCTTGAATAGAAAGTATAGTCATAGTATTATTCCAAGGAATTCCGTTCCAGGGGCCTTCTTCGTCGGCTGAGGTCCTGCGCAGTGAAATTTCGCATTGGGTCAATCGAATCGGCTTCGAAGTTGCTAAGCAAATCTTTTATCTGAGAGCAGCAAACGGAATTCATAAGAAAAAAAAAACACCGATATTTCAGTCGTAAACAATGTATGCCACTACGATCGACTCCAAGCTAAATGTCACGTCTCGCTGTGCATCTCTGAAGCAAATTTCGAGCCATATTGTTCATGGAAGGACCCCTCATAGTGTTATTTAAACGATATGTTTCGTTAGGTCGCGTTATCGTTCATGCCCGTGCCATGTACTAGTAGGCATAAGTACGCAAAATCTATGCCGATCTACGCGATATGTAGCGTTTCAATTCTCGATGAAGTCTCGAACTGGGACGGGCTACGCTTGGTTCACTTTTACGTGAGTCATTCGTCTCACCTATTACAAAATGATGATCTATATATAGTAACATTTTGAGAACTTTCAGTTCTTTTCTGTTTAGAAAGGCAATGTTTTGTTTTGATTTCTGGGCAGCGGTACTCAGTATTTTGTTATCTCAGCTGCTCTGGGTTATTGAATAACTAAATGATAGCAATTGCCGTCACACGTTTTTTATGGTCGACTCTTTTCAACAAACGCTACCTTATATCGAATTCGTTGATCGCATTTCAAGCATTCTCTTTGTGAGCACAACTGACTTTTCTTCCGACCCTATCTAACCGCCTGATCTAACCCTACATATAGATTGGGCTTCGTTGAGGTCAATTTGACGCTGATCGCCTTTTTAATACGCTTATCAACGACGCACAAGTGGACAACACGCTAAACGAGCCGTGTAGTTATTAATTTGCCAGAAAGTTACGCTTTGTCATTTTGTCAGCGATAATCGTGCTTGAGGTGATCTTAAAATCATCATCCGTACAATATAATATTGAGCCATTTTTCTCGGTTGTTTCAAATCTACCCCAGCCACTCTCGGCCGGGACGCTTCTCGTCGATTCTCGGCCAGATGCGGCGTTCGTCATGACGGGAATTAAGTTGGTTAGACCCAAGAGACAAGCGTGTCTCCCAGCCCCAGCTATCAACAACAAGCTATGGCTACGGTCAGAATAATAATAATCAGTTTCTGGCCAGTTACGGATTGGGGTTGTGCCTTTACGTTCGCTACCATAGACGTATGACCTTTTTCCTATCCTTTGAACGGGGTGGATCCGCGTTTTCCATTTGACTTGATGGTGTGGTCGGCCGGACAACGGAAAAGATATTTTGAAAATGTGTAGGACATGATTGACCCTTATAGGCTAAATCGATATTGACCATTAATAGTGACTATTAATTTTACGTGCTTTTAACTCTTCAATCAATCGCGGTGGCATATAGCTACGGCTGTTTTCAGTAAGTTGAGTTGTTATTGCAATTCTCCATTGGTACAATAACTTTGATTATGTCATTCAACATGCAATAAACCTATACATTTCAGTATTTTATATGTGTTAAAACGCTAGTCATACGAGTTTTCATTTGTATCAGTTGCAAGTATCCTCTATCCTTTACATTTGATTAAAATAGGTAACCGATGATATTTGTGGACCTTGAAAATATAGAGGAACTTGTGCGTTAGTTTATCTAGCGATTGATGACTGGTTCCAGGTACATTGCTTCGATATACGTTTGGCTTTTAGTCGATCTGAATTATTCGTGCCAATATAGCGGGCGACCATTATTGGGAGTGCTTTATTCAACATTGGATAAGTTGGGCCTATTGCATAGGTTACAACTTGGTAACTATTTAGCATATCGACAGATGTTAATATTGCTACATAATATAATTGAATTCACAATTTTTGTAAGCAAAGAAAAACAATTCCGTTAAAATAACAGACTGAAACACATTATAGCAAACATACGTGATACGGTACTATTAAAAATAGAGCAGAAGTAACAACAAACGATCATATGGTATATCAGGTTTTCATTTTGCAAGAAATAGACATGCCACAAACTCAACAAGCGATTACAGGTGTTGTTGTAACGAGATTAGCTATTATTAGAGCTAACTAATTTAAATTCTTCTTCTTAAACAGAGCTCAAGGATTATTTCCTCGCAATAACATATCGTTATGACGAAATTGGTACTCCGATATATTGCTAAAATCTTCCTAATATGTTTGTAATTAAGCTCATGGCGGCTCACTATTGCCAAAATACGTGTATGTTTGCGGATATCGCTTTATCGCAAGTCTAACTTCCGTGGCTTTAGCCCCCCGCTGTTTTGACTGTTTATTCATTCGAACCTGCTTTGCTCTAAATACACTGTTGCGCCACTTCTTCTCTGGTGTCAATATGTTCCTGTGATGTCCGTCGGGCTACTGTATAAATGACTAACAAATGCAGGGAAAATAGGATTAGATTTCTTTTTCGGTCGTTGGGTATCGCGTGCGAGATCTACCCGGCCGAAACTGATGCAATTTCTGGAGAAGAAGGACCTAACATGTGAGCGGCTGCTTGCTGTTACTTCTGCCACGATTGTGGTGCTCTGGTAGCGGACGGTAGAAGGAGGCGACAAAGGCGCTTGTAAACTCCCATTGACAGAGCGGATTATCACCCCCAATGGACCTCACACGCGACTCCTGCCTTCGGAACAGGTGTACCTGGTAAACGAATTCCCCTACACCTTCATAAGCATTTGCATAATATCTCCTGTATCAGCGATCAAACAACGATATTACAAATGAGACTTGTCGGTATAACGGATGCTATGGCTGTTTATGTCAACTTCGATCGCCAAGTGGCTCTGTATTCGAGGATACAGCCTTTAACTTATTCTGAATCCAAGCCGATTAGCTTTAGGGTCTTTGTAGAAGTTAAATGCACTTCAATAGATAACCGTATTGTGTGTGCCAGTTAGTTTATGCTATAACTCTAGAGAAATGACAAAAAAAACTTCATCTTAAGTAGGCAACGACTGAAAATTTTGACTTCGGTACTTCGTAAATAGCAAAGGGTGCAAGACCATACAATGTTTTTTTTTCGTGTCCAAGTTCTGTTAAAGAGACTCTAAATCGCTGACGTCTTTCAATCCCATCAAAAACCATTGTAAATTGAGCATCGATACCGTGTCTGATCAAACAACGACAGAACTTCGGTAGATATTGAAAAAATATTACCTCATGAAGGTAAAAGTAGACGGCAAACGGGTCACGTTAGAGCTAAAATGTGAATTTTCTTCAAGTCAAACAACTGCCATCCATCGCATGAAGTGCATGACTTCATGAATAAGTGATTGTG